AAATATGGGTAAATTAGGAAAGATTTTGACAAAAATTAATTTTCCAATGACATTAAAGAAGATTTCTTAATCCGTATGAAAAACGAAACAAGCCTATATAATTGGGACGGAGGAAGATTTCTTAAAGAAGATTTCTTAATTTAGTTATAATGTTCACGTTATATATGAATTTCCAAGATACTCAAGTTTAGATAAAAAGAGAATATCAAATGATAGGGTAATTATATTCCACTAAAATTTTAATTAAATACGCAACATTATAACTGCAATAAATATTTATAATCTTTGCTCATTTTCACACTTAAGTCCTCAATTATTTTTCGTTGTATTCTTATCATTATATGAACTTAAATAAATTATTATAATAGTATAATGTGTTAAAGTTCTAAATCATCCACACACAACATTAATAGATTAAGAATTTCAATATATAGAGAGAACGTGCGATGAAGGAGATTGAATTGTATGAAATTTCTATTTTAGGTCTATCTATTATCACGAATCATTTTAATTATATATATACATCCTTTTGGGACATTCTAAGCTCATGGCTGTCTCACGGTATTATTTTTTCATCATATTCATGCAAATGTACATTTTTGGCTTAACAATTTATATTTTTAATATTTTTAATTTTATGGTTTTTATTTAGTTGTTTTATGATTTCTTCAACTTTATTTAATAATTACTTTTAGAAGAGACGAGAGAACATTAGCATAGGTGTAACTATATTGAAATTTGACAATTAGAATTTTATTGAAACGTGAACAACAGTCTCTTCGTATTGATCTTTGATTAAGTTTTATATAAAATAAAATCATTAATTTTTTTTTTTCATATTTACCCAATTTTTGGTATTAAACAAATTTTGAAAAAATAATTATAATTACCATATGTCGCTGCATCATATTTGTATGATATATCCTATATTTGCTATATGGATTTTTTTTTTCGAATATTGATAGATATAAATTATTAAACTAACATATCAATGTGTTTTTTTTTTAATTTTGTACGCTAGAAACATCACAGATGAATAAATCATCGTCAAAAATACTAGCAGAAAGCCAGAAACGAGGTATGATTCATCAATAAATCAACAAAATGAGTTAGGTCTGAGTTTAATTTCAAAATTATTAACTTTTTCCATTTTGTTGATTGTTAATGTATATTTTTGTTGTCATATCTTAAATTT